GATTGTGAATTAATAAAACCTTGGATGAATAAAACTAAAGGGAGAGATAAAACCAAAATGATCTTGGTGTGCATTCAGTTCTTTTTGGCATTCTTCAAAAGTTCATATTAAATTGGGAAAATATTTAAAACCTTTCCTGAACTGAGATGTGTGGCTTTTTTCATAATTTTTAACATGTCTCTTTCAAATGTTCTTAGCGCTCGTTCATTATTTGTTCCCTTGAATCTCTTTTGTACAAGGCTTTGTTTTCATTACTCTAACTTAAAGGTTGTTTTCACTTTTCCTAAAACTGAAAAGTTATAAAGTTAAATCAACAGTGTATGGAGAATGCAGGAAAACTGGAAAGCAAATTCATTAGTGAGTTCTTTTATCTCAACCAATATGTAAATCAAGTCACAATTTCCCCCTTAAAAGAGCCAATTGGTTTTCCTTTTCAGGCTACACCCACCAAGACAAAGTTTGTGCACTTTCCTGAATCCTTTCTCATCAACTCCCCACCATTCTTTGCACAGATCAAAAATGCTTCTGTGGCTAATCTTGGTGTCCTTACTGGCATTCCTCCATGGTAATTGTTTCTTCCCTATTCAGCTTCCTTCTATTTTAATTCTTGTATACAGAACAGATTACTGATACACCTTTCTTTTCAGGTGCCAAGTCTCAACTCCAGTTGGTGGAGTCTGGAGGGGATGTGAGAAGACCTGGGGAGTCCCTCCGTCTCTCCTGCCAAGCCTCTGGGTTCACCTTCAGTAGCTACTGGATGAGCTGGGTTAGACAGGCTCCAGGGAAAGGACTGGAATGGGTGGCCTTGATAATTGCTGGTTCAAGTACTTACTACTCAGACAAAGTCAAGGGCCGCTTCACCATCTCCAGGGACAATGCCAAAAGCCAGCTGTATCTGCAGATGAACAGCCTCAAAACAGAGGACACAGCAGTCTATTACTGTGCAAGAGACACAGTGAGAGGAAGTAAATCTGAAGCTAAACAAAAACCTTCAGAGCAGCTCTTCAACTTGATTCATCCTGGATTGGCTAATTAAGATTCAGCAGCATATAGTGAAATTTTT